GAAGAGTAGTGGGGAGGAGATGAGCCAGTCAGAGTGCAGGGTAGCAACGTTGAAACATGTAACTTTCCTCTAGTTTTTAAATGCTTCCTCCCCACCCACTATCATGATCCCAATTCTACCTTACAAATCTGGCTAGACCAGAGATTGTACATTGGTACAGATAGCAACTGGAAACACAGGGAATCCAGGACAGATGACTCCTTCAGGACCAGTGGTGAGCGGGGCGAGGCCTGGAGAGTGAAGGGAATGTGGGGTAGAAAGAGGGAACCGATTACAAGAATCTAAGTACTGCCTCCTTCCTGGGGAAGGGACAGCAAAGAAGAGGGGGGGAGGGCATCGGACAGTGTAACTTATGACAAAACTATAATAAGTTATGAATTATGAAGGTTCATGGGGGAGGAGGGAGAATGAGCAACTGATATTAGGGGCTAAAGTGGAAGGCAAATGTTTTGAGAATGATGAGGGCAACAAATGTACATATGTGCTTGACACAATGGATGTATGTATGGATTGTGATAAGAATGGTACGACCCCCCAATAAAATAATTTAAAAAAATAAAACAAATTTAAGTCTACCTGTTGCAAGAGGTACATAAACACATGCGATGAACTGGAGAAATATATGCAATTTGTAGAAAAGTATTGCTGTATTTATAGTACAAAATAGTTTCAAAATAGAGATAAAGAAAAGGACCAAGAACCCCATAAAAGATGAAAAGATGGTCCACAGTTCACTGGAGTGGAGGTTCAAGTCGGTACTTTGTCCTATCTTTTGCCCCATTCACCCCCAGCTGTCCCTCTGGCTCTCTGCTGAGCGGGGCTGAGAGGCGGGGGCTCACTGATTCAATGAGTGAAAGAAGAGGTGGCAACCTGGATCTTAAATTGGGTTTACTGGAGAAAATTAACTCAAAGGATTTTCAATGCGTGACATAAAACACAAGATAATCAAACGGAAGCCAGACTGAATGCTGATAGTGAAGTTTTGTTGTTGTTGTTGTTTAATGAGCCTCAGAAAAAGTCCTCCTCTTTGTTCTTTTTCTTCTATTATCGAGATCTATCTGTGTACACTAAAGGATTTGCACATTTGAATGTGCTGAGGTTGCCTTCTACCTGAACCCTGCAATCCCAGATAAGAGTGAGGCTTAAAGAAATCCCTCTAACTCTCCTGCTTCATGTTCAAGAAAGCGGTTTATTGGGAATACAAAGGAGCTTTAAAAAGTTGATGGAAAAATTGAACTCAAAGATTATATTGGCATATTTCATGGAATATTTCCATGAACTTTCTGAAGCCCCACTGTGTATTCAATATTCTCCACCAACACCATATTCAAATGCACCCATTCCCTGTGGTCTTCCTTATTCACTGCCCGGCTTTCACATGCCCAGGAAGCAACGGAACATGCCACGGCTTCGGTCAAGGGCACTTCAGTGACACCTCCGCTCTTCAAGACTTTTTTTTAATCGTTTTATTAGGGGCTCCTACAACTCTGATCACAATCCATACACACATCAATTGTGTAAAGCACATTTGTACATTCATTGCCCTCATCATTCTCAACACATTTGCTCTCCACTTAAGCCCCTGGCATCGCTCTTTAAGACTTTAAGGAGGTATTCTGCCATAGATTTCTCCAATACAGCAAAGTTTCTTTTTTATTTCTTGACTATTGTTCCATAAACATTGGTGGTGGATCCAAGTAGAATAAAATCCTTACCAATTTCAATTTTTTTCCTGTTTATCATGATTGAGGCTTATTAGTCCAGCTGCAATGATTGTTGCTCCTTTACAGTGAAGCTTAATCCATACGGACAGCTGCCGTCGTCCGGACGGGTTCTGTCGCACAGGAGACTGTCTACGGAATGAAGTATGTGAGTGGCTACTAGGGACAGGAGTGAGAGGGGAAAGGGAAGCTATTGCTTAGGAAGCATTGGATTTCTGTTTGTGGTAATAAAAAAATTGACAAAAGCTATCAGTGATGGTTGCAAACATGATAAATGTTTTGCACAATGTCACTAGACTGAGATGTGAAAAATGTTCAATTAGCAAATGTGTTATATTTGTACATTTATAAAACTATATTAATATACTTTCTCACCTCATACTGAAAACAAAAATCAAACTTGACAACATCTTCTTGATAAAAATGGAAACAAAAATAGCTTTACATTTTTCAACTGAAAATGCAATTAGTATGTCTTTTTTGCTTTGGGTTTGATTTTATTCTTAGTTTTGTTTGTTAGTTTACTTGTTTGTTTGACTTTGGAGGGAGTGAATTAGCAAGTAAAATGTTAAATGGTAGCGGATATGAAGAACATCTCTGCCTTGTTCCTGGCCTTAGTAGGTATACTTCAAATGCTTCTCCCATTCAGTCAGATGCTGCTTTTAGGCTTAGCATATATGTGTGTGTGCCTGTGCGTGTGTCACTTGTCATCATTCAAACCATAAAGTTATGGTTTACAAAAGAATACTGGTTCTTGGCTTCTAGTCACAGCATTTCCATCAACCAATCAATATATAGACTCAGTTTACGTGTATTCTGTTTAAAGGCACTTACTTAACATACACTGTTGATCCAACATCAAACTCTTGGTCAATAGCTCTGTAACTCATGTCCGATAGACCTAACAGGCACGCTCCCTCTGTAAAGCACATCACAACCATCTGGTGCTTAGGAGCACTGCACACAAGCACCACATTTAGAGGCCATTTTAAGCACCAAAAGTCACCAACAAAATAAAGCACAGGAAGGGTGTTTGTTTAAAGTATGAAGCTGAAACAAGAAGGCAGGATGTCATTTTGAGCCACCTCAGCCGAACCTGTGGCTGCACATTTCAAATTTTTTGCCACTCTCCACATATGACTAGTGCCTTCAGAGCACCGCAAGTACTGACTTTGAGGGGTGTGTTAGTCCGGGTAGACTAGAGAAACAAATCATATGTGTATAAGAGAGAGTTTTATATAAATCATAATTGTACATTAAGAAAGCATCCCAACCCAGTCCAGTCCAAGCCCATAGGTCCGATATTAGCCCATGTGTCCGACACCAATCTATAAAGTCCTCTTCAGACACACAAAGCACATGCACTGATGCCAAATGCAGGATGATCACAGGCTAGTGGGTAAAAAGTCTTTGGATCCAGTGGCATTGTAAGCATCTCAGTGCTGGCAGGGGTCTCCACATGGCTTCTCCAGTTCTCAGGGAACTATCAGCATAGCGCCATGTATCTTGTCAGTAGAGCATCTCCAACGGAGTGAGTCTTGTCAGTAGAGTGCTCCAAGGAAGAAAATACAGGATTTCCCAGAATTCTCAGGAGAAGGCCTTGCCCACACAGAGGCCTCATTTGGCTATGAACTGACTGACAAACTAGAATCCACCCCTTCACTCTTAATCTTCTCAAGTCCCAAATTGACAGCAAATTATGTAACTACCACAGGTGCAAATAAATTTTAGCCAATAGGAGGATTGACTCTGTGTGTGTGTGTGTGTGTGTGTGTGTGTGTACAAAG